TGGATGAGAAGTAAAAGTTTATTTCAATCATGTAAAAAACATTAAGTATGTGATTGATATTAGCTGGGAAGCGGATGAGCGAGAAATTTACTTCAACGCTATCTGCACTTCAACTGAAGATAACAACCGTAAGGAGCGTGCAGGGTAACAAGTGCTGCTTCGTTTGTGTGATTGTTTCAGCGGCCACTAAATATGTCTCATTTTTGGATGCGAGGTAACTGAGTGAGTTGGCTAGACACTCGAATTGGATAGGAATTTTTTATTCTGCTTTTTCAGCTGTTTGCGGTAAAGCAAAATGCTGGACCAGAAAAAAATGCTGCACCAGAAAGTAACGCTGCCCCAGGAAAAAATGCTGCAATGGTAAGTAAGTGGTTAGGTTACCTAAAATTGTAAGAAAAAGTGACCAAAAGGAGGTATTCTTGTTGAATAGTAAAATGTCTGTATATATCTACTTGTCAGAGTTAATCTAACGATATGATTTGTCCAACATCTGGATGCATTTCAAGAGTGACTTGATATTCTGTTTTTACCTGGTATTAGGAACGACTTAAAATGCTAGAAAAATGTTTACTTAGATCGCTCTGATTAATGCGGTTAACTGTTTTTTTTTACTCGGGGCTTAATTGTCTCCGCAGATACTTGATGAACCTTATTAGGATCCCGATGACTTTCTAAGTAATCTTCTGAGTGTTCGCGCGTTTTACATCTGTGACACGTTTGCAGTTTTCATGTGAAGAAGTGAGGTTCTGATCTGAAAAGTGAAACAAGTTAATGACTGGCCTAGTACTAACTCAAAATTTAACGCGAATCGGCCAATTTATTATTGCATATTCGAAAGCGCTTATTAAAACACACGGCCCAAACTTTGACAAGACCCGTGTCAATAGGGATAAAATATACACCTGATTTGTGTTGCTTTAAGGTAGTTGGTCGTTAATGATAACGATAGAAATCTCTCTTGGTATTTAATTAATATTCACTAAAGTGGAGGTGGATAGTGTTGAATGTTAAACGAGCTGTGAAGCGGCCCGGTAAATATCCAACACTAGCTACCGACGCTGAGGTGAATAGTTGTTTTAGTAAAAACCGATTAATCAAAATATAGAGCCATCACACTGATTAATGCCGTAAACTGTTCTGTGTACTCGTGTTTAATATTTTTACCCATTTGACTTTGGCTTAATTGTCTCCACAGTTACCATTACTTCAAGAACCAACGAGAGATCCATATAAAGTAAGGAATCCTCTGTTGACAATGTTCACATTTCACATTTGTAGGGAACTGGGGAAAAAGTATGGGGTTTTGTTCTGTGAAGTTGAATAAGTCATCAGCTCCCTTGGTATATTTAATGATTAGCTAGGAGATTAAGAGCTTAATTCCCCTTTATAATTTTAACGTTGATCTTAGTTACACAATATAAATTTTCCCGCCTAGAATTTTGCCGGAAGCCAGCTGTTATTGTGAACCCCGAATTATCCGGATGGTTCCGGAAAACGACGTAGATCAGAGTATTCAATCATAATTGATAATAGGGCTGATGACTCCCTACCATTTCAGCTAAAAAAAGATAATAATCGAGTGCCATTGCCATCCACCAAAAAAAAAACTTTTAAAGATTCCCGCTTTTAAAGATTCCCCATTTTAAAGATTTCCGCTCTTAAAGATTGCCCGTTTTGAAGATTCCCGCTTTTAAAGATTACCACTTTTAAAGATTACCGCTTTTAAAGATCCTTCATTTTTAAGATTTTCGCTTTTAAAGTTTATCCGTTTTGAAGATTCCCGCTTTTAAAGATTCTTCATTTCAAAGATTCCCACTTTAAAGGATTGCCCGTTTAGATATTTCCCGCATATAAGATTGCCCGTTTTAAAGTTTCCCACTTTTGAGATTTCCCTTTTTAAAGTTTCCCGCTTTTAAGATTGCCTGTTTTTAAGTTTCCCGGTTTTAGAGATTCTTTGTTTTAAAGATTCCTCATTTTAAAGATTTCCCATCTCCCATTCCCAATTCCTCATTCCCCATTCCTTAATTTATAGATAGCCAGCATCAATTTATAATGAGTAAATTTCCTGGTCAGTGTTTCACGAAAATACTTGCCTTCCATACACTACCCAAGAGGGTATAGAGGAGATTAAAATTGACTCTCAGGTATACACTACTCAAGAGGGTATAAAAAAGATTAAAAGTAACCCTCAGGTATACACTACCCAAGAGGGTATAGGGGAGATTAAAAGTAACCCTCAGGTATACACTACCCAAGAGGGTAAAGAAAAGATTACAAGTAACCCTCAGGTATACACTACCTAAGAGGGTATAGAAAATATCAAAAGTAACCCTCAGGTATGCACTACCCAAGAGGGTATAGAAAATATTAAAAATAACCCTCAGGTATGCACTACCCAAGAAGGTAGAGAAAAGATTAAAGTAACCCTCAGGTATACACTACCCAAGAGGGTATAGAGGAGATTAAAAGTAACCCTCAGGTATACACTACCCAAGAGGGTATAGAAAAAATTAAAAGTAACCCTCAGGTATGCACTACCCAAAAGGGTATAGAAAAGATTAAAATTAACCCTCAGGTATACACTACCCAAGAGGGTAAAGAGGAGATTAAAAGTAACCCTCAGGTATACACTACCCAGAAGGGTATAGATGAATTTAAAATAACCGTCAGGCACATGTATACAATACTCAAACCTGGAGGACCATTCAATACTTTTTCAATGACACTGCGGTTGATGCGACACTCATTTAAAAAAGGAGGCGGAGAAAAAGCTGCCAAGGGAGGGTAGCAAGACAGAAATTAACTTATATAACCATTATTCTTTACCAATTCCCAAATCTTGGTATCAAGCTCGGCTATTCTTGAATGAATTCACCGTGATCATTCGACTGTAAGCATTTCCCGCCAAATCTGTCCGGTAGTTTACAGTAAAAAGAGATTTGATTTACCGTATCAACAACAAGAATAATAATTTAGTTGAGAACTCACAAATACATCTGCTGTAAATTCTCGCTGTTTAAGTAGTGCGGCACAGAGACCAAATGAAGATACAACATACAAGTTGTTTGGTTGCCTGGTGTTGATCGAACAGCCTTGTTGTCGGGCTTGAGACCGCTGGCGTGACACTGCGTATTTCATGTTAGAATCGAAAAAACATTTCGTTCTTTGCAGAAGCATTCAGCCCGATTCCACATTAATTTTTCGTTAGCACACATTAGAGCTTTTTCGGGCCGAGATTGGATCCTGTAACTCTTGAAAGTTCAGCCGATCCGTCGATCGAAGAGTTCGGCCTCCATGATGAGATTGCGCTAAGTGATTCCGAGCCAAGATTCATTGTGAATTGTTAATTGATAGGTAAACCTTTAACTTATAAAATAACAATCACAATGGACGGAAGGTTCCTTGCCGAGCTGTCCGTACCGCACAAGTACAATACCTGACGTTATGATGCATTGCACATGCGAACGAAACAAGTGATCTGGATTCCAGACGCTAACGCGCGCGTTATTGTTCACAAATACAACGGACATGGATAGCTGAGAATTTATATTTCAGTAACTCCTCATTTATCATGAGGCAAAGTTACAAGATACCAAGAAATGCAAGAGTATTTTTGAAAATGTAGCAATGTTTTGCCACGAATTGTAAATTACAGCTGAGGAGGCTACACGCATTTGTTTCTTTTTTTTCGGCATTCTTCATCGCCTCAAATCTTTTTCTTAAGGTACTACATAATTCAAGGGCTCGTATAATTCTTCGTAAGCTGTTGGTTTATCTTCATGGCATGCCCAGTTTTGATTAACCGCATAGACACCTACCGACTGCAAGTGTTAATTGATTCTCTACGTTGATGACAGAAATGATAACTTCTCTTTAGTATTCATGCTGCGAATTTTTACCGAGGCCAAAGCTCGTCGTGTGATGATGATGATAGGCGTTGAGGTTTTAGTCAATATTTTAATGTGGAGTCCAATTAACGGTATTTAGGTTTTAAGACTCGCGATGAGTTTCCTTATTTAACTGTCTTTGCTAGTTCTCGGATTCTTTGAACTTATAAGTCTTGAAGCAGTCTTGTTGATAAGTCGGTTTTGTTTGTTCTTTATTCTCTGGAATTAATTAGATTTATCTGATCATTTTTTATGCCAGTCTTATGATTCGAGAGATTGTAAACTTACGCAAGCAATTTTACCCTTAGGTGGTTTTCATTTCGCCGTTTTCAAGACCTAATTATAGAATAATAACTTCCAACAGAGGGAGTTTTAGTTATTCTGTTGACCTTAATTAGGGCTGAAATTGATGACTACCGTGAGAGAAGAATGGGAGTCCACTAGGGAGGGAGGAAAGTGTTGGAATGCTCGAAACTTGGCTGATTTAGATACCTTAGCACTGGAACACTCAAGCACGTTGATATCAATTTGTATTTCGTTTATTCAAAATTGTTTGCCTCTATTTTTCATTTTATTTTCAGGATGGTTGGTCTCTTGCGAGAAACTCAAGAGGCGTTACAGGATCTATTCCGTCTAACTATGTTGAAAAAAAGGACCTTTCGACAAGTCATGAAACGGTAATTAACCATGTAGTTCGACTGTCATAAGAAAACACTAAAAGATCTGTACGAGAAAATGTAAATTGCGCTGGGGTTGAAGATTTGTATATCTACATGTTTTCTCCGTATGTGACTTATGTCTTCATACATGTAAGTTTCAGCTCTCAAGTCTTTTAAATGGGGCGATCTGCAACTCCTATTTGCACATGGCTTTATTTTCCCTTTTAACTGTCTGCATAACAAAGAACGAGTCACTGCGGTGTAAAATTTTAAAAATTAACGCTCTAAGTGGCCATTTCACCTCCAGGCAAATAAAGTGTTTCGGTTTGAAGATTTCGGAAAGAAACGACGTTGAAAAGGAGCGTACCTCTGACTATTGTTACTTTTAATGACAATCACTGTATTGGGATTTTGTTAACAAATGCAAATTTAGGATTAGAGAGACTTAGGAAAAATCATAGACAATAATCTATAAAAGTCGCAGATTAAACTTTAGTCATCTTACATCTGGTTATTAAAGAGGGAGACCGTAGGGAGGCATTGTGGTCTCCTTTGCGTTGGAACGGTAATTCTTTTTATAGGTTCTTTTATACAGGTTTTATCTAATTTCGTTGGTTAGCATAGATGAATTTAATTGGTGGCTTGTGTATTTAACAGATGTTACAGACTCCAAAACATGAAAAGAAAATTAGCGTATGTGCCCGAATAGCTTAGCTATTTTTAACCTAGCCTCTTTTTGAGGTAATTTTGCGACAACACAATGCGAGTACTTAATATTGACAATGCACCTGAAGAAAGGTAGTCAAAAAATTAAAACAAGTGAAACTTAACGTTTCTCGATGTAATTTTGTTTGAATTTGAATCAAATGATTGGTTGAAACAGATAATGACGTTTGTCAAATTGAAAGTTTTAAGAGACCTTCATTCGAAGGTAATTCAACTGTAAACTTTGAACGTGTGAAGATTGACTTATACCACGCAATATTATTTTGAAGAAAATTTGTTTTTTAATAATCAGTAAAAGTACACTGCTCAATCAGAATCACTCTTGATTATGAAAACTTGGCGTTTACAAAAACTAGACTGCCATGTAAACAGAGTTGAGTTAAAATAGTCTCTCCCGGCAAAGGTCGTTAGGGAGTTCACTCCTGACAGAGATCAAGACACCTTGATCGTGATTTTCATCGTTGATTGTGGTTCGTGGTCGATTGCTTTTCAAGAATAAAGATTCGTTCAAACACAGGCGGCCCAAGCGTACTGTGTGTGAGTTTGGGGTCTAATTTTCCTTAACGGAAATAACTTAAATAAAGGAAAAATTAAAAAAAAAAAAAAAAAAATCAAGAAGAAATTTAGAAGGAAAATAAAAGCGGGGAATAAAACGTGCAAAGTCTCCTTACCTTTTTCCGTAGCCGTTTTGTTGCCAACGGTCGTTTTAACGCTGTTTTGGCGACTTTCTTTTGTAACGTGTGTGGTGCTATCGGTCAACTGTGTACAAAAGAAACTCAAGGATGGAAACCTCAACCGTCGCCACTCCAAGGCCCATATATTCGACAAAAGTCGACCAATCTCCTAAAAATTTCCACCCATGAGAGCGTTTAACTTTTGCCTACTCGTTCCAGCAGCAAAAGTTTGCAAATTCCGCGTAATCCTTTTGCCCTTACTGCGGGATTCAAATATCAAAGCGCATCGGGTCGAATTACACGCACGACTCCCCGATCCCCAGACGGTGTGGTTTGACAATAGGGCAAACCTCACAACCTTCCTAATGATCCCCTGGAGAGTCTTTTATTTGGTCAGATGCGCTTTGATATTTGAATCCCGTAGGAAGTGCAAAAGGAGTACGCGTACCTACAAAGCGATTTAGCAAGAATGGCTGGTAAAACGGAGTGGCTCTCAGATCGATACAGCGGAATTAGGAAACTTTGCCGCTGGAACGGGTAGGTAATAGCTAAGCACTCTCACGCGTGGAAATTTGAGGGAGGTCGGTCGACTTTTGTGGAATTTATCGTCCTTCGAGTGGCGACGGTTGTTGTTCGGGACCGGTTAAAGTTTCCGGCCTTTCGGTCTCACTTTATAACTTTGTTCGAAAGCCGTCAGGGAGAAATTCAGAATGATGGTTACAATCAACGATAAGAGACTTCGGGTCAAAATCGGGTCAATTTCGGCATTCTATTGTTACCTACCATCAATTATTTCGACGAAGTATTTGGCTTCGCATCCCATAGGAGGCAGAAGCCACAATGATCGCGTTCGGGGTGTAACGGAATATTTCCATATCAACCGTTGGGATTTTAAGACTTGAAAGCCCGTTTCTTTCCGGTTGTGTATTATGATCATGAATGAAGCCAAAAGAAGGGAAAAACTACCTTGATTATTTTAGTGTACGGTCCGACGAGAAATTTCCATGTCATTTTTGAGACTTTGCAGCTATCTTCTGGCTTTCAAGCTGATTATTTATCTAGATCTTTTCTGTTCGTTTGTGAGGTCTAATAGAGTGTTTTTTGGTCAAGGATGAAGCGAAAAGAAGGAACAAGCAAGATCATTTTAGCCTACGGCCCGACGACAGACGCCATTTTGAATTATGTTGATAACTCAAGGTACAAAGGCTAACATTTCTAGGATTAAATGGCGGATCTAGGGGAGGGGCCCGAGAGGCCCGGCCCTCCTTATTTAGGGTAAATAAACAAATCGCAGAAGGAAGAAAAGTCGGCAGGTGTACACAAACAAAAAACCGCCCCTCCCCTCAGCTCAAGGTCTAGATCCGCTACTGCTCTGTTCCACCCCCTAGGTATTTGAACCGAAGAGAATAGCATGACTTTGGGGACCGAAGCAAAACTATTTGGGAGAGGGTGGCTACGGGAATAGCGCATTTCATCCAAGTTTTAATGCGTAAGTTAATTGTCTCACAGATCAAGAAATGGAATGAGTGAATGAGAGAGTGAATTTTCGTTCCATACCAAAACCTCATAGTATGACTGGCGTCATACACTGTACCAGGATGTAAAAATCTTCCAAAGACATGTCGCGGTGTTCCTGGCAGCCTCGTAATCCAAAATGTTGCATAAAAAAACCCCGCATCGTCGATATCAGGGACTTCAGCTAGTGTTGTCAAGGAGTACCTTCTTCATTTTCGGTGGTTAGTGCCTTTGATGCATGGGGACGTTTGTCCTCGCCCTCTTCACAAAGGAAGGGGGCTTTCTCTTCGAGTGTTTTGCGGCTGTTGGCAAACTCTCTGTCTTAGGCTATGACAATTATCCTGAAAATTATGTTCGCTTTTTGGAAATGATTCTACTTTTTTGTGAAGTATGCTTTTCAAATACGAAACACAAAACAAGTCAAACTTTTAATAAAGCATGATCCGTCATCTAAATTTTGAGTTACACTCTTGCTCTAATAAAACGCAATATACATTTAATATGTTCTGACATTTCGTTGCCTGTGAATGCGGGAACCGGGACCGACCCAGTATTTACTTCCGGTTTGCCCATTCTTAAAAACGACGAACGACTTAGTATTGCTGTAGCTTTCTTCCCCCAAAACATAGAGCAAAATTGAAAATAGACTAAACCATGACCCCGAAATTAGAAATAATAAATATTGGAGATCAAGCAGGTCATGACTCAGGTTAAGTTAAAAAATCTAAAACTATGCTGATCATGCTAGCAGGGCTACTCTTATAAACATGGGTATGCTACGCATGCAAGAGCTATTTTTGTTGGATGGGTGGGTTGCAATGGAACACTTTGTGTAAGTGATGTCTTCATTTTTGTCAATAAAGCCGCTTATTACAAGACTCGGGCAGTCAGAGGGCCAATAACTAAAATCAACCAATCAAAATGCTCTATTGCCGGTCAATATTCTCTCAGTATTGGACGGGCACTCCCGAATGGTCCTGAATGATACCGCACTTGTGTCCCTTTGAACTTCAGTCGTATAATAAATCTCTTATTAATCAAACTTGCTCGGGACCGTACTGGAAGAATATCGGCCCTCGGTCTTTTTTGTACGGACCGAGCGCAGCGAGGTCCGTACTGTCAAGACCTCGGGCCGATATTCTCCCAGTACGGCCCTCGCGCTTGGTTAATAAGATATATATAACTTTCAAAAGAACGAAAACATCGCCTAGTTTACCTCAACTGTTAGGAGAGGGAGAAAACAACAATCAAATTTGTGTGAAATAAACTCAGGTACGCAGGTATATTGTTGTCTATTGTCTCTGTTGTCTGAGTACTTATAGGCAAAATAAATTGCATCGATCCATTCTCCTTCGCAGCCGTTGTTGGATCTTGTTACACAACGCCCTCGCTCCCTCCTTGGAGAGAAGCGCGTTGCGTCATCAGTAATGACAACTGCTTTCATCTATTTTTTATTTGTATTTATTTCTCCAAACCTTAGCAGATGATAATACAGATAGATAGATAGATAGATAGATAGATAGATAGATAGATAGATCACTTTATTTATACACGGAAAGTTCAGAGTTGATAGAAGGTGAAAAAGTAAAGTAAAAAAGCATAAAATTTCCAAGGGAAGAAAATTTACAATACAAAATTAAACCACTTAATTAAGTCACAATGTATATAGGAAGGAGAGGAGACGGGCACGTCTAGATTAACTAATATTGTGCCTCTTAAGTTACGTCAATATAACAAAAAAAAAAGTCTAAATTTTTTAGTCAAAAAGTAAAGGAGGACTTATAAAAACAGCTCAGTAAATTGTCAAAGCGATGATGTGTCATTGATATTTGGCAAGGTACCGGCGTAACAGTGCGAAGACACCTGCTGGACTTTTTCTAAAATTTTGGATGACTTTGTTTATATCTGATTCATCTTTCTCTGTATTGAACCCTTTTGGGAACACTTAATAAGATAGCTTCAATTTATTGGCAGAATTTAAGACTTTCTGGTTCAAATCGTTGATTAAATTTCACACGAAGAGCAACAATTCTTAATCTTTGAGATAAGAGACTCAACAAATAATTATTTTCAGAATGGTTCAAGTAAAGAGACGAAAACAAAAAAGCAAATCAAGCAAGAATGGGAAAGGAAATTAGATGAGGAAGAGGAGAGAAGGGAGGAAGAAGCGTGGAAAGGTTTGAAGCTGCAGGCCGAACTTTGCCGACGTCGGGATCAGTTGTTCGATTACAAATTTGGCGACAAGATAGGGCTTGATAATTTCTCTGGATTAAATATCGATGATGTAATCCAACTAAGGATCGGTGTGTTTGGCCCCTCGGGTTCTGGGAAGAGTTGGTTTATCAATACATGTGAACGAGCAATTAGGGAGACAGAAAAGGGAACTGCCACAGAAGGTAACACTGGAAAGGAAGAGACAGTTATGCTCGAGGATTACCTGCCTGAGATGTTCTTCCATTTGACAGACACCAGGGGTTTCTTCGATTATCACTCCACAGAGTTAGTCGCATTTGAGAATATCTTGAATGGAAAACTGCAGCCGAGCGATATCATTTATCTCCAACAATCAAACCCGAATAGACAAAAGTTTCATCAGTCCCCTACATTTGGACAGAGAATGCATGGAGTGATCTTTGTTCTATACGCAAACGACCCTAGATTGAAAGACGGGGCAATGAAGGACCATTTAGAGCCATTCAGAGGTGTCCTGCGAAAAAACGGTATCGTACAAATTTTGATTATTTTAGATCTGCGTCCATTCCATTCTACTCTTTTCTTATTTTTATTGTCCTTTTTTGGTAGTGGAGGTGAGTTTTAAGGAAGCAAAGCCACCTCTACGGGATAACTAAACACAATAAATGCTCTAGCGTTTACGGCGACCAAAATCTAAATTCTCAAGTTCAAGGGCGTGTCGCTCCAAACGCGGTTAACTAGGTGTTTGGGACTATTTTACAGATCGAAATGACAAACCAAAGTTGACTGTTTGCACGAATCTTTATTCTTGAAAGGAAATCCACCACGAACCACAATCAATGACGAAAATAACGATTATTCTCACAGTCAATCAATCTATCGAACGATCGATCGTAAACTGAAACAACAATACAACGAAGTTCTATCAATCTAATGAAAAGCCGCGGAATACATGATCAAAGAATCGCGTGTCAAATACTGGGCTCTAAAGTCTATAACGAGATTAACAATACAAGTAAAACAGANTGAAAAGACTGGAAAGGAAAAAACAAAGTTACAAAGGTACTCACATATCGGTCCCGCTTGTGCCAGAGGTTAAGAAAACGAAAGGACGAGAGTTTACCAAGGCTATTCAAAACTTACGAAGAACTGATTAAAGGGACGCTAAACTTGCCTTTTATATGCGCGTGGTGACGCTGAAAGGTCCGATTACAAAACCAATAGAAATACAGAAAAACAGATAAGCATTGTAACTATGGGGCTATCTAAGATCATTCTGAAATAAGTGAACTAATCAATAATCAATCAAAAAAATGAGCCTTCTGGCTAATGTCCTTAACAAATGCCTTAGATTAAAACACTACGCTGAAATCTAGTAGTTGTTGTGGTTTATACCTTAGGCTTGCTTTACACCTTAGACTTGCTTTTGTTAATCGTGTCCGTTAATCTTCTCCTCCATCAGGTATTTTAAGAGGTACTTAAATTTTAATACTTTTATTTGCTTCAAAAGGTATTGTTCCTGTAACTGTTGTTAGTCTGATGGATAGACTTCATAGCATAGAAGACTACCGAGAAAACCTCCTGAATGCATCAGAAGCCACAGGAAGTTCCCTCAGTCACACTTTCTGGATGCCTACCTACCCCACAAGAAACACACCATGTAACCTTGCAATCGTGCGCAGCTCATTTGACATATTGGACATCGTGTTGGCAAGTGCTGAAAATATGGTTAAGTTCTGGAAACTAAAAGAAGGTAAAAACATAAAGGTAAAAACGTAAAGGTCAAGAAGGGTTGTAAAATTTGTATTTCAAAAGAAAAGTCTAAAGCTCTGGTAGAATGATTGACTTCCTAATTAAGTCTGCAAATTTTAATTTTGAAGCGAAGGGGGCTCATGTGGAAAAGAAAGTTCAAGTGCTCCCAATAGGCCAATAGGGGTCAAACCATGATAATCACAATTTTCCTTTTACCAACAGAGATGCTAAAGCCAGGAAATGATTAAAAGGGATAATAGTACCTTTAAAACCTGTTGATTGAAGAGGAAAATGATGTGTCAAATTTGTTAAATCGGTGACCTCAGATTTGTTGTGCCTTTGTGTTATAAGCTGCGATCGAGTTTTTTGTCGAGTCAGCTACATAATTCTTCACAATGTTACCAGCGTATAAAGTATCTAACTATGATCAAAGCTCAGGCTTATCTCTAAATATGTTTTTCACTCCAAGTTTCGCGACCTGTTTTCCAATTTGATAGCGCTCCTATCCTGAGGCATTATATTTATAAAATCCTATAGGGGATTTCTCTGGTGATACAATGCGAAAAACATTACGATCTTCCTGAGCATATTCTGAGTGCCACTAACAAGTGATACCTTTAGCTCATCCTGGACACTCGTCTGCCAAAAAGAATGAAACAATCAAATATTTGCGCTACTATGGTAGCATATGCATGTTACGTCATGGCGGCCGTATTTTACAGCACAAGCGATGATAGCATTAGTCAAAGAGGTTTGGTGTCGTTAAGAGTTCTTCACGAGGAATACTAGCTATATGTTAAGACGTTATTATTATCCAAGCTGTTTGCGTGGATACTGTCAGCGGTCGTTGAATCGAAGAAATATGGCAGGAGACAAATTTGTTCGGAAGGCGTTTGTTTGGGTAGGAGAATAAACGAAACAGTCTAACCCATAAGAGTAATTTTTATTTTATGATAAAAAAGCAATATCACCCTGAAATTTTTCTTGCCTTACTTAGCATAAGTATAAATTGCATCGTAAGTACCACCATGTCTAGTTGGATTCGGGTGTCATGAGTGTTAGGTGGATGGTAAAGATTTAGAATGACAGAGCTCGGGTCAGTAGTGAAGCAATTGGCAATTTTTGCCCACTTTTTTATATATTGGCTCATATTCGAAGGTCCGAGTCAAGGTGAAATTACAAGGTCAAATTGCACGGTCAAGGTCATATTCTGAGAGACAGGACAGGTTTCAGATTCTAAGAAATGGGTCTAGTTTGATAATCACCAGATTTTAGTGACTGTCAAATTATTCAATGCTCAAAGATTCATACTTTTGAGAAAATGGAAAGGTTGGGAATTTGTAGTTGGATGATTATTTGGTCTAATTGTTTTGTTTCGATCCTATTAGATTATATGTGTGTTTTGAATCATTTGGTTCAACTGAACATTTGTATTCACTGTCTTCACTCTCATAACTGCTCTCTTGGCTGTCATCGATAAATTCTTCCAAGCTATTTAAACATGATTGGCCATCACAACTATCAGGCATAGGGTAAAATATCGACTGGACTGGACTAATTTTTGGACGATTTGTTTGGATTATTTTTTGGACGATTTTTTGGATGAATTTTTGGACCATTTTATAAGAGGAGAGGTACACCTTTAGTACTAAGGGAGGGGTGGGTGCAGTTGATAAGTACTGAGGGAGGGGTGGGGAAGAGTGTTATTACTCAGGGAGGGGTGGTAGGTGGTTGTAATTGTAAACACTACTGGTTAATGGAGCTTTTACTCGATCGTAATAATTATTTTAATCGGTTTTTCGACTGACTTCTCCTACATCAACATTTTGCGCTGGGCCGCGGCGTTTCTTTAATTTTTTAGCCATGCGAAAGCGAAGCTGCCACATAAACACTGGACTTTAATTCTTATTGAAAATATCGTGTTTACGATCCTCCACTGTTGAGTTACCAGTGTGGCATAGGTTATGCGTGTGTATGAGGCGCCAACCCAGTCAATATTCCCTCTGTATTTCTGTGACCCAGTTTACTTTTAACATGGTCAACTGGACTTTTTATATGGCTAACTCGACTTTTTATATGGTCAACTTGACTTTTTACGTGCTCAACTTTTGACTTTTTCTATGGTCAACTCGACTTTTTATATGGTGACCTTTTTACTCTTTTTATGGTCAACTCGACTTTTTACATGGTCACGTGGTAATCTTTTGAATCGTTTCATAATGCATTGCACCCAATCACTAACTCATAAAAGCACTCGCTGAAGTTCGTTTTCTAGTTGCGGTGACCCCACGTGCGCTGCAAGTTGGAAATCGACGGGCGAGCTCTGCTGCAATCGAAGGGCTTGATGATGAAACAGAGGAAGTCGAAGCAATGTTGGTAGCCGTGAACGCTGCCACATTTCGAATGTCATTATTCCGATTTGTCGATGGCTTCGAGGGCCTGCTTAGCTATGGCACACGTCGAGGTGATGTGCTGCAAGTCTTCGTTATTGTCGGTCATTTTGTTAGAGTCCTAACGCAATGCATTGTGGAGATTACAAAGTCAAGTTGACCATATAAAAAGTCGAGTTGACCATAGAAAAAAATCAAAAGTTGAGCATGTAAAAAGTCAAGTTGACCAAATAAAAAGTCGAGTTGGCCATACAAAAAGTCAAAAGCTGAGCATGTAAAAAGTCAAGTTGACCATATAAAAAGTCGGCCACCGTAACGATTACAAAGGCTGACGTTTCGAGCGTTAGCCCTTCGTCAGAGTTGGCCATATAAAAGTCGAGTTGATCATGTTAAAAGTAAACTGGGTAACAGAAATACAGAGGGAATATTGACTGGGTTGGCGCCCCATACGTGTGCCTTTTGAGTGGACTTTAGCACCATCAGTTTTCCTTTTGTAATTACCAGATTTATCTATTGTTCTTTTGTCATTGACGTTATCAGACGGGATCACAGAATTACCGTTCGTTGTCCCTTGACTTTAGCTGCAAATATAGAATTCACAAGCGCTATCGCAATTTTAACTTTTGTACGTTTACTATATGAAATCATATTTGGTACAATCGTCCAAAGCAATATTCTCTCAGGCGTCACGTTAACACAGACTTCGAAAACGCAGACCACAGACCGCAGACCGCACACCTTGAAAACGCACACCTCGAAAAACGTGTATACAGTGTGTAATTACCAGATTTATCTCTCTTCCTTTTGTCATTGATGTTATCAGACGAGATCTCGGAACTTCCGTTATGCGAAAGCGAAACTGCCACGTAAACACTGGAGTTTAATTTATATTTAAAATACTACGTTTACGATCCTCCATTGCTGAGTTATCCGTGTGCCTTTTGAGTCGACTTGAGTGTGCACTATCAGTTGCTTCACGTTTTCCTTTGTGTATACAGTATGTTATTACTGAATTTATCTATCTTTCTTTTGTTAGTGATCTTATCATGAGACGAGATCACAGAATTTCGCACTACACCGAAATACCGAGTTAAACAATAGTGTTTCTTTACCCACCCCTCCCTGAGTACTAAAGGTGTGCCTCCCCCCTTATAAAATGGTCCAAAAAATCGTCCAAAAAATAGTCCAGTCCAGTCCATATTTTACCCTATGCCCAATTATCATCGCTATCAAAGCTAATAATTTCGGAATTACTGTCATATTGACTCAAAAACATAGATTATATGAAAATAACACTTTTATACTAACATATATGAATAATATCAGTAATTGTGATTATAATGTGCGTGCGGTAATGATTGAAATGCAAGAGGTGGAATGCCCATTTTGAGATAGGAAGTTAATGTAATATATACTTGAAAAAGAGGAATGCTGCAAGTTTATGCAAATTAATATAGACTGAAGTTTTTGCTCTGTTAAAAAATGTGGTCTGATTCATGGTTATAAGCCGGTCATAGAGTTTGTGGACTATCATGAGAACAAGTTCAAACTCGACAAACCATCTGTTTTTCAGAGATAGTACCATATTATGATTGTAATTAATGATCTCGAACAACACTGAGTACAATTTGCAAATCGAACCAGTGGTATAAAAAAGGTGAATTTATATTTGCAACACTTGATAGCCCCAGGACGGAAAGAAAAAGAATGGTAGGCTTTGATGCCTATGAATATAAACATAAAAACAATTAAATCAAAAAGAACCCTAAGGGTTGGAAGAGTTCTGGAAATATGTATTGCAGGAGAAAGGTGAAATAATCAAGGATACACTCATGTGAACTTCTGTCGCTATTCCTTTTCAAATTTCTCCGACAGTGGACACATCAGTGATAATGTCATCCAGTGCCTTCAAACTGTCCAAGAACTGGTCATTGTATAGAAGACTTAGGCATTTTTAAACTGTTCTTTGCCTGACGATCTGTGTTTGGCATATTGATAGGTCAGCGGTCAGCGAGAAACATGGCGGTCATTATTAGCTCCGCTGATTTACAGTGATTTCAGCTTGTCAAAGCTGTTTTCTTTTTCTTTCCTTTTTCATATTTTGTGTCTCGTGTTTTCATGTATTAGTTACTTACCATTATGGAAGGTCTAATGAGAGAGGAATTCGAGAATTTATTGGAGAGGCTTCGCGCCTCTGTGTAAATCGATTAAAGAGTTGGAGGTATCCATCGCCACTGCGAACTCTAAATATGACCAACTACTAACAAAAATGACAGCCTACGAAGAAGAAAGAAAAGCACTAGTTATTGAGAAGAAGAGTTTAAAAGCTGAGGGCCTAAATAATACAAACCAGTCAAAGGCTTTGAAGGAATCATTCAATGATAAAAGTCAAACCGAACAGAGAAAGCCTATCTTTCCTCCTGCCATTATTGTGAAATCTACGAGCCGGAATGTTAGAGAACAACTTTATCGAGCGAGGAAGGCTTTCAAGGACTCGACTTCACTAGACCTAGGATTTTCTGAGGAGAATAGAATCGTCCTTAATGAAAGTCTTACTCGGAGTTTAAACTCAGCTGCCAACTACCATGCGAACCAATTTTAGCAGAAAGAC